ATAACGATAAAAAAAAACAATTCTCAAAAGAGTGATTAAGGAAAAATAAAAGAATATAATTATATTGATGAAAAGAAGTTAATGTTTAAAAGATTATGATAATTTTTGTTATTTTGGCTATAAACATGGATTGTTAATAATGTACCAATGGTACCAAAATACTTGGATATTGGATAAAACAAACTTAGTTGTATATTGCTAGAAGAACCAACATTTCGACCTCGCTGCTTCCAGTCTGAAGCTGTGGGCGTTTCCATCCATTTACCTATTAGCCAAATGTCTTTTAATTTTGCAGCCACTACTTCGTGTTCTTTCAATATACCATATACGTGGCTCGGACCAATGTGAATATGCATTCACCCCTGCTACAATATTATTATTGTTATTATTTTATTATTAGTTTTTGTGGCGATTAAGTTTGCCAAGAAAGTAAACAAATGCGGTAACTTGCTTTTTGGGGGAGAGGTATACAAAACTACCTTGGGCGACTAAAAGGGTCGCCAGACTCGCCACAGAAAGTAGTCACGTAAAACTTATTTTTTGCAGCGAATGTAGGTCGCCACAAGTATTTCCTTTTTAGCGACCTATTTAGTCGCCACAGAAAGTCGTCACATAAAACTTATTTTCGTAGTGAATGCAGGTCTTCGCGACAGGAAGTCGCCACAAAAAGTTGTCCCTAAAACTTTATTAAATTTTCGGAAAAGGTCCAAATATATCCTTGTACAATACGAAATTGAGCTTATTTGCCCTTAGTTAATACTTTAGCTCAACAATGCCCTTACCAGCACATAGTTGGTCCATATATGTCCTTACAAATCCATATATGCCCTTTTCGAAACGGAATCCACCCAAACTAATTAGCTCTTTCGTGAATTGTATTAAAGTGTATTACAAACACTATTTCCTTTTTATTAGTACTTTTTTTTCTCTTTACCTTTCTCTTTCTTTCTTCTTTTTTCTTTTCTTCTCTTTTTTTTTTTCCTTTTTCTTTCTCCCATATCCGATTTCCTCCGTTGCTGATGCCTTCTCCACTTTGTCACCAATTTCACTTGACAAAACTCATGAATTCCTGCCTTCCCAATTAACTATGGGTGTTTTACAGGTGGGCCGGGCCGGTCCTCGTTGGAAAAAAAGGAGACCGGCCGATTTTCAATCCTGGCCGGTTACGGGTTATTCAAAACCGGGCTTAACGGGTCCGGGTCCATCCTGGTAAAAAATGAACCGTAAGGGTTACGGGTCCAAGGGATCGGACCGGGTTAGTGTTATTATTTTTTTTGCTGTATTTTGTATAACTATTGTAATTTATATTAATATAAAATAAAAAATATAAAACAAAAAAGCAATCTTATAAAAAGAGTGTTTGAATAAAAGAATGCAAAGGCTTTAAAATCTTTATATTTGAAATTTTGAATATTTCAAGAATTTAAGATAATAGAATACGATGAAGATGGAAAAAAAATTGCACTTATAATTTGCAAGTGTTTTTTTTATTTCAAACTTACAAATTGAAGTTTACATTTAACAAGTAAATTAATGATATCAAATGTTTTGCAGTGCCTTAGTAAGTTCTTCATAATCAATATAAACTTCTTGGCCATCTTCTGGAGTGTTAAATTCAGATGGGTTACCATGTGTTAATATATCTCCAAGTTCCTCGTCTTCTGGTCTATCAACATCTTCACGTCCTTGATTTTTTCGTTCCGATCTAATCCAATCTCTGAAACATACTAAAACTTTCAAAGCATTGCTTCCCAATGAGTGACAGGTGTCTCCAAGTTGTTGTCTTGCTTGACTAAATGCACTCTTTGATGCAACAGTTGAAATTGGCACATTCAGCACGTCCCGAGCCATAGCGGAAAGAACAGAAAATTGTTTTTCATTCTCACGCCACCATCCCAACGGTGAAAATTCCTTTGTGCGAGGCTCTTTTTGCTTTTGCAAGTAGAATTGAAGTTCATCAATGTTCCTGCTACTGGTTTGAGTGTTAGAAAATGTAGAAAAAATATTAAAACTAGCAATGCCTTCATCATCATCCATAGTAGTAGAAGTGGTACAATGCTAGTGGGATTAACATTGCCTACATTAAGAGCAACATCATCAAATATATTTGCATAATAATTATATAATTGTTGTAAATAATCATTTAGCTTGTTCATACAAACATATATATATATGGGGTTTCAGTTGGTCCAATCTCCATATAAGTATATAAAGCATTGATTAATTGGTGACAATCAGACATCTTAATAGAAGGATTTAAAACAACACCAATTAAGTAAATCGGAGGAATTGGAAAGAAATATTTTTTGAATTTTGCTTGCATTTTTTCAGCAACATCCTTATATTTTTCTTTCTTCTTAAATTCAGAGAGTAGAAAAGAAATTTCAACTATATGTACTAAAGCCATAGTAATAATAGGGTAATATGCTCCAGAAAATTCAAAAGTAGCTGTATAAAATTTATGTAAAAATTTAACATCATTAATGACCTCCCAAGTAGTAGTTGTTAACATACGGTTTGGATTAGTACAATGCGCATTAGCAACTTTAGTTATTGGCAATCTATATTTGTAATAACATTTTAAAAATAAGTATGTTATTCCATCTAGTAACAATTTCGTCTGGCATGAATATGGGGTTAAGGTTATGCTCGGTACACTTATTCTTAAATTCCCTAATTCTAGATTGTATATTATTTCCTTGAATAACACCAACTGCTCTTCTAACATGAGTAATCTCAGTTGAAAATAAATCAAGGCCACTTTTAACAATTAAATTATAAACATGAGATGCACACGTAACATGAAAAGTGGTGGTTGCAAATGCAGTTTCAATATTGAAATTGCGGCATTATTGTTAGAAACATTATCAAAAGACATACACAATACTTTTTTCTTAAGATTGTAAAATTCAACAACTTCGCAAATAGTAGTACTTATAAACACAGCAGTATGACTTTGATCTTCATCATATTTAAAAGCGATAATACGTTTTTGCATACAATAATTATCATCTATCCAATGATATGTAATTGTCAAATAATCATTTCCATTAACATCATGGCCAATATCAGAAGTTAGAGAAACTCTGCAAGGAAGGTGGTCAAACAAATAACGTATGTATGTTTGATATTATCCATGAAGTCTAAAGATATCAGATCTACAAGTACTTCTAGGGATACCTTTAAATAAAGGATTATAAATCCTTTGAATATACATAGTAAGATATGATGAAGAAGCAAAAGAAAAAGGTAGACAACCCAAAGCAATCATTTTTGCTAACTCCTCACGATCCTTCATTTATCATATTTCATAAGTCCTCCAGTACTAGGTTTAGAGTTGCTTGATTTTCATCTAAATCAGAGCCCCATTCCATAGGATGCTCAATTCTCATATGTCTACTAAGTGTCCCAGTCCCCCCAAATTATCCTCCAGTCTTATGTTTAAAATCATCATTACAAAGTCTGCATTTAACTTTATCACTATTCTCTATTTCGTCAAAAAAATTTCAAACCTTACTTCTTTTTCTCCGATTAGTAGTCGGAGCCACAGATGGTCTACTACTAGCACCACGACCACCACCCCTGCTACCAGCTCCAACACTACTAGGTGTAAGTGGTGTCTCATCTTCAGTTTCTAATTCATTATCTACTATACCGAAATCTTCCTGTAATTGTTCATAATCTATATTATTATCAGGTGATGTTTTAGAAACATGTGTAAAGTCATTTAAATTACTACCAGATGTTGAAGTAGTACCTCTTTTTCATTTCCCCGATTACCCCGATTAGTAACTTTATTATAAACTCTTTTTGCAGCATTAAACATATTGTGAAAATTTAACTACTAGCAAAAATTAAATATGCAAATAAAATGGAGTAGTAAATAAGAGAAAGAGTTGGAGGGAGTGCACCGAATTAAGCAATAAATTGAACAGTTGATGATTTCGCAACTCCAATGTTACCACGAAGAAACGTCAATTGTTCAAAGTTTGAAGTTCAATTGTTCAAACTTCAAATAATAAATAATACGATAAATTAAATTCCTAAAAAAAATGAGAGCCAAATAGTTGATTGCACTTTAGGTGAAGAATGAGAGAATGATAATTGAGAATATGAGTTTGAGAAATGAGAGATGAGTGAAGAAATGAAGAAGAGGAGGGGGGTGTATTTATAGTTTTTCAAAGGGCTAAATTAGTAATTACAAAAAGTGTTATTTTTTTTAAATAATTGCCCAAAAAGGGCTATTTGTGCAATCCAGCCGTTGGGCAATGGCCAAAAATGCAGCTGACCGTTGCCAACCGTCATAACACCTTTAAATAAAGAAAATCAGATTTCTAACCGTTAAACTGGTCCGGGCTGGGCTGGGCCGGTTAACCGGTTCAACAGTAATTTCTGTTGACCGGGTTTGACCGGTCCGGTTAACCGAATCTATTTCGGTGAACAGACCAACCCCCTAACCCAGCCCACCCGGCCCCCTAACTACCGGGCCGGGCTGGTTCGGAAACGGGTTAACCCGGCCTGTTTGACAGGCTTACAATTAACACCACCGAAAAAATTTTAAGACTACAAATTTTAAAATTTTTTTTTTTTTTGGTTAAATTCCGTGCGTGCTGAGTCAAACTACACACTTACCAAACCCATCCACAAGCAAAGTAAATTGGTATAACATATCCATGCAAAGATATGGGAGATCTTTACTATCCACATTAGGAAACACAGAATTTACTTCGTTGGCTTTTAGTTTGCAAGCAATCTTAGCTGCTTTCAGGTACTGTATTAGCCTTGCCAGTTGATGCTTTTGATACAATGCGAGTACCAAAATGACTACTGTTTCATATTTTATCTAAATAAATCCTTTTATTTTGAAGTAAAAGAATATCGATTATTCGTTATGTTGTCTACTACTCTGTACCAACAGATCATGTGATTTGGAAAACAAACTATAGATAAGCTTTTCAGTAAGCATGACTTGATAACCTGAAAAGTGGAGAAGAACAAGGTAACATGTTGAAGTCTGGAATGTGGTTATTAGTCTTTGGAATGTGTATTTCTGAGCACAAACAATGGGTTTTTAACACTTTTTAAGGTATAGATCAGAGGAAATTTTTTAACTAAAAGAAGATCATTTATTGAAGACCATAAACAAGTAATGCTCCAACACCACCAATACCAGCAATGAGACCAATAATGACACCAATTGGGGGCAATCCTCCTCCTATTGCTCTCCCAGTGTTAACATCATATTTTGCAAACCTCTTCTTTGGTGCTCTACACTGTGGACATGCATAGTCCTCCGGCTGCAATCAAGAAACAGAACCAATCAAATCCCTCATTTGGTGTTTCAATCGTCAAATTTTCTCCTTCCCTGAATGCAGTGAAGTTAATTGTTCAGATCATATTGTAACCTAGAAAGTCGCTGTCACCGGTACTTCTTTAATTTTACTCTATAGGTAGGTAACAATGGGGCTTGCCGTAATATAGTTGTAGTTAAGGCTGAAGTAGTGGAAGCCTTTGTTACTATTAGACAAATTTCTCCAGTGTTCTCTTCTTGTTCTTTGACATAGCGCCCATTATATCTGGAACGAGTTGGAAGAGGAATTTCTGATTCATTCATTTCCGAGTCATTTTGTTGCAAGCATTAGTCCCCACTTCCTAATTTATTGTTACTTTCTCCTTTCTCAATAATTTTTATTTTCACATTCGGAAGTAATCATAGACTTTTGTTTGTCTGCACATAGTTACTGCTACGCAAGTCAACAGGTTATGAGAGAGACACACACTTGCATGCGGACTAATTAGAAGGAGAAGTAGAGACATAGAACAGTTGGGCCTAAAATCTCAACTGCTTAACCTAAGCTCTGAAATCGTCTAACAGTTTTTGAAGCAGAAAAAAAGATATCATAGGCTTGTTATAGTGAAATACAGTTAAAGCAAAGTGCAGAATCTTGCCTGGTCATCGAAAGACTTTGGCAAAGTGTATATGTAACCACAGTCGAGGCAAATGTGTGTAGCTCTGGCCTGAGGACAGCGAAGTATATGATTAGGCAAAGTAACAAATATAAAGGATAACATGAAGCCAATACAAATAAAAAGTGATCATTTCTAATAATGATGGATCAATACTAGCCTTTTGAGCATCCGTTAATTTCCTTCCAAATTGAGGAGGAGCTGGACGCTTGGGCAGTCTTTTAACATCTACATCGACACCTCTGCATCAAAATATCGACCAAAGATATTCAATACATTGAATGTTTGTCTCATATCTTTTGTTAATAAAGATGTCAATATCGACATATGTGGCCATCAATTATTCTGTCATGCCTAGAATTTTATAATAAGGAAGCGATGTCTAATTTCGGGTCATAGGAGGGCAGGATCAACATGAACTAGGATGTCTTTCAGCTTTCCAACCATGTTCTATATTTCCACACTCTAAATTAACCATAGGAATGAATGAGAGAACAAACAATAACTACGATGACAAAAGACCTATGCAGACTGCTTGTGCATTGTTAAGACAGATTTTAACTCATTACACAAGATGGTAAAGCAATTCTTAAAAGCCAATCACAAACAACATACATATTAGTGTTTTTATGTGGAAAAGACTAGTAGCAACAACTCAAGTCAATAAAGATCATAGTATTTCCAAGAATCCAAGTGAACTTGTCATCATTTATGCAATTTCTTAGAGCCTTTGACTGATATATTGGCTCAGAAAACCTCATGCCTATGCATTGAGTTGCCTTTATTATGTACTCTTTTTGAGTTATCCAAAAAATCATTCATCAAAGTCTAGGATTAGGATTATTATGCTTGCAAAATACTAGCCAATCTTCGTCGATATTGAGAAATACAAAACTACCATATCATATAAGAGCTGCATTAATCAAGCACATTTCATCCTATGTTCCTCTACTACAGCATCAAAACCAAAAGGATTTAACTTATATATTGATAGTACAATTTTTTCTACAGTATATGTGTATTTTAACCTATTGTAGCATGTAACCTGTCTTATTTTCGAGGTTACTAACTCCACTTGTAATTATCTTTTAGGTGAACTGATAATATAAAAAGTCTTTACACTGCTAGTATAGAAGTTAAACTCAAACCAGAATATAAGGCCAAGGAGAAATTAACCTAACCTGCTAACGACGAAGTAGACAGAATCAGGTTTCGCCTGGATAGCAGTTTTGGTAAATCCAAGCTTATCAGCTGGCCAGAGTTCATCGCCGAAGAAGCTACTAGTGTAGACCACCTGGTCACCAACCTTAAGCCCTGCCCTTGCAGCATTACCACCATTCTCTATACCCTAATTCAAAAGATGAAAACAAAACATCTTTAACGTCAATCGCTCATTTTGAATTAGGCAGCTTTTCCTACTCAGTAGCCAATTATCACATGTAACTTAATAGTCAATCACAGGTAACTTAGTTTAACTAATATACAACGACAATGTAATAATTAAATTTTACACTATCAGGTAACTTAAAAGCCAATGGCAGGTACTTTTAGTATTGATTAATAACTCGTAAAACATGGTAAATGACAGCAAGTAATTACTGACCGTAATGACAACTCCACCACCATTCTTAGGACCAAGGGTGAGCCCCAACGGCTTATCAACTTCAACTTCGATATTCTTTGATGCAGTTGATCTTGCAGTGATCTCAAGGGTTCTACTTCTTCCACCAGTACTAGTAGTATTCCTCTTGCTCTCAGATAAAAACAAATTCGAAACACCCCTTTTGGCTTCTTGTAGTGATAAACCTTGAAAACTAGTTTTCTGTCCAGTTCAAGCCAAAAAATCCACAATTCAGAATACACAAATGAAAATCAAAAACTAATTTTATATGATTGCCTCATGAAAATAATCAAGCCAGCATAACAAAAAAAAAAAAGGGCAGCTCGATGCACAACGCATCACGCATACACAGTGGCAAATGTGTATTCGATTTATCGATAAGGGTCAAAATCGAATCGATAAAAAGGGCAGCTCGATGCACAAATCGAATCCTCTATATGACCTTAGTATCTCTAGGAAACAGCCTCTCTACCCCTCTGTGGTAGGGGTAAGGTTTGCGTACACCCTACCTTCCCCAGACCCCACTTGTGGGATTTTAAAGGGTTGTTGTTGTAGTATATATATGCCATATGTTGACTCCTCTTACTTTCTTCATGTGTTTACTTTTTTTTATATTTTTGATACTCCTTTTGCATTGACAAAAGGTCCGAGGAATGGCCGCACCTCAAAGAGGTCATATAACATACTAGTAATTAAATAATTAAAAGTGTGACGTTTCAAATGATGATCAAACATTTCAAGAGATCACATGAATTGAATACCTGGCATGGAGCGGTGGACGATTTGGGGGATGGGATAGAAGCACTAGTTTTGCTGATGCTAAGGTTTCTTGAGTAAGCAACAGAGCAGGAAGAGGGCGAGGCACCAGCAACAACTGTGGACGATGACATGATTTGGTACTAACGTTAGAATTTCCACTGAGCAGAGGAGATAGTAGTTTTTGGATGTGGTGTGTGCGTGCCTCCTCTAACTTGGGCTCTCGTGTCAGCAAAGTAGTTATGTGGACAGGATAACAATCTAGTGGCAGATAGCTTGGTCTTACAGCTCAGCCACACGCCCCCTCTGCACTATACTTCCTATTTTCTTGAAATAACGCTAGTTGTATTACTTTATTCTATAATATGGCAATGAAACGAAGTCTAACAAAAAAATAAGTGTACAATTTTTAAGTAATTGTTATAAAATAATAAAAGAAGAAGAAAAGTATTGCAAAGAAAAGTAGGGAGAGAGAATTCTTATTGATTTGGGATGAATTACAATAGAATAGAACCCTCTATTTATAGGGAGAGGTTGACTTAGCCACCAAGTAATAAACCCTAGAATCTCTCTAAATATAGACATTCACCATAAATAAAATTCTATTTATAACACTCCCCCTTGAATGTCTATTCAACAGATAATGTGCCTCGTTAAAACCTTAACTAAAATAAAACCCAATGGGAAAAAATTCTAGGGAAGGAAAAAGAGTACACATATCTACAATACGCCTTTTGGTTGCCTCATTAAAAACCTTGCAAGGAAAACCCAGTGGGACAAAACCTTATAAGGGAAAAAGAGTACAACGCGTATTAACTCCCCCTCATGAGAGCATCACTTCACATCCTTAAGCATTTGCATTCCAATCTTGTGCACCATCTTCAAAGATTGTTGGTGGATATTTGATAAACAAATCAGCCATATTAACTTGAACGAATTTGTTTCACCTTGAAATCATCATCCTTGATAGAGATGAATTGTCTTCATATGATCTTGTAATCGTCAGTTCAATATCTTCACATAGAGGTGAAAACTCTTGCTATCATATTATCATGCATATAATTATAGCAAGATACATATATGCACAAATTGCAATGAGGATGTGGTACTTCAAGATCATGAATTCTATATGCTTTAAGCAATTTAAATCCTTCAGGGATTGTTAAGTCATATAAGCCATATAATAGACTTTAGAAGCATATCAAGTTTTCATGTCATGCTAGACATATAAGATATCGAAAACTGATTGCACATACCATTGACTTTATACTTTCAAGTGTTTGAACTACATGTTCAAAACTACATGTCTTTCATATGAAACTGTCACGACCCCAAACCCGGTCGTGATGGCGCCCAACACTAATGCTAGGCAAGCCCGACCATTTACTCTCTCAACCCGAGCACAGAGCTCAAAACCAATTAATCAGATACTTAAAATCAAATATTAATACTCATAGTTGAAATACTCAATTAAAACAATACGAAATACTGACATAAACTGTAACTCCCAAAGACCTGGGGTCATGAGTCTAGAGCCTCTAACTAATACAGAGTCAAGAATCCTCAAAATAAGTATGTTCTAAAGTACGGAAATAAAAAAGGGATAAGGGAGGAGTCGGGTCCTGCGGACGTCATAGCAGCTACCTCGACCACTCCTGGAACTCTGGAAACCAGCGGCTAGCTCAACTAAGCTCCTGAAGTACCTGAATCTGCACACAAGGTGTAGGGAGTAGGGGTGAGTACTACCAACTCAGTGAGTAATAAGCATATAAAATGTCTAAAGATAAGAAATCCACGAAATGCCACGGAGTAAAGCTAAAACTAACAGTCCAACACCTAACTACGAACCAACAGCAAAACAACTTCAAATATATCAGTCAAGTATAATGTAAGGATGCAATGCAATGCACATGACCGCTACGGTGCGTAGCCCGATCCATTTAACGTCGACGGCGCTCACTGGGGGTGTGTACAGACTCCGGAGGGGCTCCTTCAGCCCAAGCGCAATATAATCATACCATTCGCTGTGGCGTGCAGCCCGATCCATACTCAGTCCACAATATGCACATGAGTCACGTAACAGATTCAATTGATTTCCCATTTCCAATTTATTAAGAAGAATATACTTTAGATATTTAACTTCAGGAAAAGTGACTTAGCATTTCATAACAGTGATTAAACATAGGACTGAGATCAATGATTATACAAAGCATGCTATCACAGAGATATCCATCCTCTGAGGATGCTACAGATCGGCACAAGGCCCCAAACGTGGCAATAAGCCCAGATATATTCAATACAGGGTACGTATCAGTCGCCAATATAGAAACATTCTTGTTCGGAATGGACCAAGTCACAATCCCTAGTCATAACCAATCCCGCACCTGCCATGGGGTGCGAGTCACGCCCTACAATAGCGTCACAATGTGATAAGCCGGGGATTCAAACCCTCAGGCAATCATATACACCAACTACTCACCTCTAACCGGCCGTAGACTGGTCCGCAATGCCTTTTCCCTTTGTATCGACCTCCTCGCGCGTCGAATCTAGTCAAAATCACAGCGGATACATAAATATGGGTCAAAAAAACATAACCCAATCAAAAATACTCGAAAAGTACTAAAATTCACGAAGTTGGCGAAACCCGAGCCCCGGGCCCACTTCTCGAAAAATTCCGAAAATTACACCAACGGATTCCTCGTCTCGCCACGAGTCCGTACATATAAAGTTTACCAAAATCGGAGCTCGTTTGACTCTCCAAATTCTATTTTTACATCACAGCTTTCCAAGCCCTAACTTGACCCGTTTTTGATGAAATTATACTGATTTCTATGATAAATGTACCATAAACTCGAGTAATTAGGCCAAGAGACTTACCTCCAAGTGATTCTCAGTCAAAACCCTCGAATTTCCTTGTTCAAAGCTCTGAAGAACGTCAAAAATGGAGGAAAAATATGAAAGGGTCGAGGATGAAATATTATTTTAAAACCCTTCTGTCGCCCAGTCCAATTTTCGCTTCTGTGGTCCCGCTTTCGCTTATGCGGGACCGCTTCTGCGGCCACATTTCCGCTTTTGCGGTCTTTACTTAGAAACCCGGACTTCGCTTATGCGACGCGAAGTCCGCTTCTGCGGTTCCCTCAAAACCGCTTCTGTGGTACAGTGTCCGCTTATGCGGACCCGCTGGTGCGAGCCACCTTCCGCTTCTGCGGAATTTTCCCTAGCCGGCCAACGACCGCTTTTGCGACCACGTACCCACTTCTGCGGTCCATTTCCGCAGAAGCGGAGACACCAGATGACAGCAAAAATCTGACCTGCAATACACCTCAAAACTCTCGTTTAACCACCCGAATTCACCCCGAGGCCCTCGGGACCTCAACCAAATGCACAGATATGTTCTATTACTCCATTCAAACTTGCTCGTAACATAAAAACACTATCATAAACACCAAAATCATCGAATTACCACGGATTCAAGCCTAAGTTAAACTAAAACTTCCGAAACTTGCATTTGATCAAAAACCCGACCTAAACACCTCCGAATGATCTGAAACTTTGCACGCATATCCAAAATCACCTAACGGAGCTACTGCAAAGGTCGGAATTCCATTCTGACCCTCGGATCAAGATCTCACCTACCATCCGGAATTCGCCAAAATCCAACCTTAGCCAATTCAAGCCTAATTCTACACCGGACCTCCAAATTCAATTCCGATTGCGCTCCTAAGTCACAAATCATCTCCCGAAACTGGTCGAATCATCGGAAATCCATTCCGAGCCTTCTAACCCATAAGTCAACATTCGGTTGACTTTTCCAAACAATCCTTCTCATAAAGAGACTTACTTTCTCATTTCTAACCGAACTCTATCCGAATTACTTCAAATTCTCCAAACACATATAATGAAACATATAGAAGCATAAACGGGGAAAAACGGGCGGTAACTCCCGTGACGACGGTC